TCTTTAAGGTCAAGCACAAGCCTAATGGACAGATTGCCAAGTAAAAAGCTAGGCTGGTAGCAAGGAGTTTTCTTCAGAAAGAGGAAGTTGATTACATAGAAGTTTTTGTTCCAATAACAAGACTTGAGACTGTGAGGCTAGTAGTAGCTGCTGCAAGTTACAAAGGGTGGTGATGCACCAACTTGATGTAAAGTCAGCTTTCTTGAATGGCTATTTGGAGGAAAAGGTCTACATAGAACAGCCTCCAGGATTTGAGATTGAAAAGCAGTAGCAGAAGATCGAAGCGATCCCTAAGGGCTTGGAATCAAAGAATTGATGGAGTTCTTTTGAAGCAAAAATTCAGTAAGTGCAAGTTAGAGCATGGAATGTATGTAAGGTCCACTTTTCACTCTAACTTGCTATTGGTTTGCCTTTATGTTGATGACCTATTGGTTACTGGTAGCAAAGAAGAGGAGATTGAAGCCTTCAAACAATTCATGATGGCTGAATTTGAAATGACAGACCTAGTGAAATTGTCTCATTTCCTTGGCCTTGAATTCAATCAGGTTGAAAAAGGCGTGTTTATGCATCAAAAGCGATATGCACATAATATATTGAAGAGGTTTGGGATGTTAGAATGCAATCCAACCTCACTGAGCAATGACCCTGAGGAAGAACTAGCAGATGCAACTGAATTCAGACAGCTAATTGGCTCTCTGAGGTATCTTTGTAACAGCAAACCAGATATTTGCTTTGTTATGAGTCTAATTAGCAAGTTCATGCAAAAGCCTAGGATATCTCACATGAATGCGGCTAAGAGGGTGTTAAGATATGTGAAGGGAACCATTGGCAATGGTGTTCTATTCCCTAGTGAAGCAACTCTTGAAGAATCAGATTTGATAGGATATACTGATTCTGATTGGAAGACAGATCCAGAAGAAAAGAAAAGTACAGCTGGTTATGTGTTTTTGTATTGCAATGCACCAGTTTCATGGAGCTTAAAGAAGCAGGATGTGGTGACATTATCCACTTGTGAGGCTAAGTATGTGGCAGCCTTCTTTGGTGCATGCCAAGCTGTGTGGATGAAGAACTTGCTTGAGGAGTTGAAGCTTAGAGAGGCAGTGGCAGTCGAATTGTTGATTGACAACAAGTCAGCAATAAACTTGGCAAAGCATCCAACATTTTATGGTAGAAGCAAGCACATTGAACCAAGATTCCATTACATAAGGGATCACGTACTCAAAAAGCAAGTGACAGTTGAGTATTGTAGAGGGGAAGAACAAGTTGTAGATGTTATGACTAAACTGGTGCAAATTGCAAGGTGTAAGCAAATTTGTAGCAAACTTGTAAGGAACTTAGAAGAACTGAATTGAGGGAGAGTGTTGTAGCCAATTTAGTTCTAGAAGTTAGTTAGTTGAGTAAATGTATAAAAATTATTGTTGTTATTTTTTACGTTCGCATATAAAATTTCCTATTTCTCGTTCTCTCTCACTCTCTGTTCTCTCTTTCTATCATCAAACGAAGAGTGTATGTGAGTGTGTGATCTTGCTGTTTGTACAACAGGTGTTTTGGTTCCTACAAAAAAGAATAAAAAAGATTAATAAAAAATCTCTTAAATTGGAGGAACTTAAAAATATGTAATTAGAAAAGTTTATAAAACTTTTCATTCTTGTATAAAAAACCTTCCGATTCTTTTTTGAGTCACTTCACCATCATTTTTCATCATCCATGAAGTGCACATCTTTGTTTATAAGAATTTTTCTAATATAAGGTTGAAAAATCTGATAAGTTTTAGAGATTGTGTTGTAGGCAATACTTCATGTGCAACTTTTTTGTCAAACTCATCACGCTTAACTTAAGGTACTTGTAAATAGCACAAACAATCAAATAATTTTAAAATTCATAAGAAGCTTTAAAACCAAATTAGACTTAAAAAAGAGTTTAATTTTATATAGCTCCTGTAGAAATTCTGTTTTGAATAAACACACTTGTATTTACAGCTTCAGCCAAGAACTTCTTTGGTCATTCATTTGGATGGAGCATACACCTAACTATCTCTATGATTGGTTTATTTCTCCTTTCACTCATTCCATTTTGTTGATGAGTGTACGTTGATGAGTGTAAGAAGCTGTCAATTGATGCTTGATCTCAACTCCATCACAAAATTGTTGAAATAGACAAGCTATATACTTTTTTCCATTGTTTGAGTCAAAATTTGAATACAAGAATTACTTTGATTTTCAATATATGCTTTGAATTTCTAGAACACTGCAACTATTTCTTATTTGTATTTAAGAAAGTAAATGATTTTCATTAAGTCATCAATAAAATTAATATAATAAAGACTTCCATTTAGTGATGGAGTTCTTTGTGGTCCATCAACATCAGTGTGAACAAGCGGCAATTCTTGACTTGCCCTCCAGCTACTTTTAAGAAATGATTTCTATATTTGCTTCCTAAATTTACAAGTTTCACATTCAGTTAGATTTTCTATCAAGTTAGAAACTCCATGAACTAGTTGATTTTTCAGCATATAATTCATCTAAAATGATAGAAATGACCTAGCCTTTTGTGCCAAAGATCAACTGAGCTTGCTATAACTGAAAATGCAATATGCTCCTTTGTTGGATCAAATGAAAAAATCTTGCTCCTCATTTTGACCTTGAACACTTCAAGGCCTATTAGATGCAACTTTTATCTTCAAAGATAACTTTGAACCCTTTCTCATGTAGCAGTCCAACACTAAGCAAGTTTTGATTAATTTTAGCTACAAATAAAATATCATAGAGGTTCTTGTATATATGTAGCTTGTTATAGCTTCAATCCCTTGCCTTTTACTAGAATTTGTTCATCATTCTCGATTTTGACTCATTTGACTTCGATGTTGTCCAAACACTTAAACAATTCTATGCATAGGTCATGTGGTTAGTGCAGCCACTATTTATCAACCAAGATTCACTTGAACTACTGCTAGAGAAATAAGTAGCAACGAAGAGTTAGTCTTCATTCCCTTGTGCATTTTTTTTTTTTGCATTAGCTACAACTTGTTGAATATTTACTTTGCAAATTACAACTTCTTGTCTGATCTGATTACACTTTGTATCTAGTCTCTTTCGACATTTGAAAAATGGATGAACCATTTTTTCGCAATGTTGACGAGTGGATAATTTTTCTTTTATCTTTGCCTTTGTTTTGGTTGTATGTTGTATTCTTGTTACTTGTTGGTTGGTTCTTAAAATTTTTCTTTTTAGGAGGTCTAGCATCATGATGCTTGGTTGGAAATGCACCTTTAATAACACAATCTTCTCTTATCAACCTTCATTGCTCTTGTGCCTACAAAGCATGAGCACCTATGCCAAAGTGATCTTTGACAAATTCTTTGTGTTCTCTAATGAGGTTATGGATGCTTTATACCTCTTAGGCACCATTACCATAATTTTTCAATAATTCTAGAATCAGCAAAGTTATTGTTCAACAACCTTACCTTACTGGCAATACCCAACAATCTTCCTGTGTATTCTTTGATTGTCTCATATTTTTTCATCATTTGTAACTTCAATTCTCCCGTTAAATTAAGCACTTACATGGTTTGTATTCTTTCATCTCTAACATATTCTGCCTTTAAATGATCTCAAATTGTTTTTACTTATTTGAGAGTTATAATCCTGGTGAAGATGGTTGTGAAGACACCAACAAAAAGACATGATTTTTCCTTTACTTTTTGAGTTTTATTCTCCTTATGATTCTTGAACTAAGCCATGGTAGGATTGTCTGATAGTAAAGGGACATCATCATAATCCTCTTCCACAACTTTTCAAATATCAAATGCCTCCAAGCAATATTTCATTCTTATTTTCTAAAGTTTATAGTTTTTCCCATCAAAGATTGAGAGAACAACTTGGGAAAAACTTGTTTAAAAATTTATGACAACTTAAAACATATACATGTTCATCAATACGATAGCTCTGATACTAATTGTTGATTTTCAAAAAGGTAAAGGCAGTAGCATAATAGAGAAGAAAAATAGTGAAGAAATAGAGCTTAAAGTGTTTAAAGGAAAGAGAATAACAAAGAGAATTGGTTAGAAAGAAACATTTTTAATTTTATGCAATTTAATTTTAAATACATTAAAAAATAATTGACTAGGAAGTCATACCCCAATTATTCTAACAACCACTACTAATAACACAGTTGAAAAAAAAAATAGCTAATCTACTATATGCTAATGATAGATTCTAAATAAAACAATTTAACTTATTCAAATTGAAACAAATCTTAAAAGCTTCCTAAAAAACATGCAACATTCAATGACACTTTTCAACAATATTTTTTTTATTAAATAAATTTTATTGAGAATAAAAAATTAAGTGAATCCTACTCTAACTTTAATGCATTTCACTCATAATTTTATAATTTTAATAAATTTTAATTAATAATAAAGAGTGTGTAACACTCAGCTTATAATCTAGTATGAATCTCACTTAAGACTGGTATGTAAGCTTGAGAGATTATAAGACGCTTGTTTGAGCTACCTGTTAAGTGCATAAATAACTTGTGAAGAAGAAAAGGATGAATCTTGCCGTAATTAGTTACAGCTAAAAATTACTTTTTCTGGGTACGGATTTGAACTCCACACTGAGGAGTGAACCACTATAAAACACACGGTGCAAGCTTGTCATTTTTTTACTGTTTAAATACGTGTTTATGTTGATGTGTGTTTTATTTCATGCATATCATATGCTAACTAGTTTTGCACAAGGTTACTCATCTCGGCACAGGTTTTGTTCCAAAGTTTTTTTGCTAGAATGTTTTAAATGGTATCTTGATCCATCTCGTCATCTCGAGTGATCAACCCAACATTTTCAAGCCACATAAATACAAATTTGAGTGTTCCAAGCAAAGGCAACATGTTCAAATTGGACACACCATATTTATTGAATGCATGCATGCATACAAGCGAAATTAAGCTTCAACTTATGCTACAAAATTACAGAACAGAGTGTATAATGAATAGTACTTACCACAAAGGAAAGTCGCAGGTTGTCAAGCTCTTTGATATAAGATGACTTTAACTTGAATCTTATCATCCATATAACCAATAAAGTTGACAAGAGTGATATCAAATCTAGCACAGTGTGGATGTTAGCCACCATAAAGGTGCTACAACTAAATCTTGCAGCTATGAATAAAGCAGTGAGCTCTTGGGTCTTGAGTGATAAACCTAAAAATGGAATTATAAACTCGTCATTTAGACTCTTAAATCAAAATATGTATTTACAAAGTTACAAGACATCAATGTCCATGATGATGTCAGTATTACCAAGATAATAGCATGTTCAAAATCTAATGATTTCATTTAGACTCTTCATCGAGTGCGAAAGCTGAAAAACAAACTATTACTATTTATTATATTTCCTTGAACAGACTGGGTCTGTATTGTTCTTAACATCCTATGCTTTTCACTTTGATTCACATTGCATTACTTTTTAAGCCCTCCAAGTAATACCGGGGTGGAAAAATAATGATACTAATAATTTTTATGTTAATGTTCGATAAAAGTGCCCAGTTTTCTATTAAGAAATAAAAATTAAGTGGTTGAATAACAAGATATCATAAAGTCAAAATCTGCTCTATTAGAAAGGGTGGTTATTTGAGGGAAACAAGTTCAGCAATCATACCAACATGCTTAAAGATAAAAAAAAAGAGAAGGAAAATAAAAAATTTCTAACACTCTGCATCCATATTCTACTCTTTTTGGGTTTTACAAAATTATAAGTTTTGTTAGATAAATAATATCCAAATCAGTTAATTGCTTAATTAATTTCGTTTTTCGCAGTAAGCATCCTATTTATAGCATGAAATTATACAATTACAGCCGATCAAAATATGCATGCTTAAGTTCCTTTGCTCGAGTTGAGTAAAGTCTCTTTGAGCTCTACTTTATCTTATTTTCGAATCTTGAAGCAGCTCTTAAACTCCACTTACGAAAAAAAAAAGTTACATTATCAAAGATGATAGGAGAAACCTAGCCTGTCGCTCCATTTTTTTTACCATATAATGTTAAATGTTCAAATATAAATTTAAAATTACGAATTTTATCTTGAGGGGTATGCTACAACAAAATTTTATCTTTGTAAGTACTTCATCCAAAATCAAATATTGAGAAGAGTCTTTTTAAAGAGTACGAAAATTCATCTAGAACAAGCTCTGGTTTAAAGGTTTTCCCTAAAGTTTCTTTCATATTTCTCTCTTTTGATCAGATCATAGATCTTCCGTTTGATATACTTATCTTTGTAGGGCCTATAGTATTCCCCTCACATGAACAAACTGCCTTACACATTAGAAGTTTCTACCATTTTTGTTCATTTAATACCATAGAGGATCGCAGGTCTTATACACATGCAGAATGATTTTCATCATCTTTAATAGGCACCTTGTCATTAAATAATATGCCTAGTTAAAACAATCTTTCATTTAAGAAGAATGCTAACAACATATTATCTAAGATACTGTCTTTAATACACTCTTAATTATTAATTAATATTTATTAAAAGTTAAAAAAAATTATGTGAGATTTATTCTTTTTTCTCTTCTAAATTAATGTTTTTGTTTCATGTTATTTAGTTTTTAATAAATTTTAACTAATAGTTAAAAATGCGTTAAAAAGAGTATGTTAGCGACTACATTGTCAGCATTTCTCTTCATTTTATACATTAAACTTGAATCTTATGAGTTAGATCCTCAATATCACTTTGTATAGAAGCTTGATGCTTAAACCATGCAAATTGTGGATTGATTGTGATCTAAGGCAGTTCAGTTAGGTCAAACCTCTCATACCTATATTTGTACTCTGCTTATAATCCTTCTTCCAAATTAGGATTAACATTTGCTTTGTTGCCCAATAAGCAATTTGTGCATATATACATTGAGCATTCCTTAACGTTTACAACCGGGATCCCAGCCATAATTCATGCTTATTATCACATGAAACCCAAAATTTTCCTTGGTCATGTCGATTGTGCGTCACTCGCATCCAAGTATTGAATAACTAGCTGCATGCTACTTGATGGGGTACGTAATCTATTCCTACTATTAGTCATTACAAATACTAACTTGAGTGTTAGAATGCCTTTGTAAGTACACCATCCATTTACTTCATTGACATCACGTACCAGCTTTCCAACAATTATTCTCTAGACTTCATTGGGCCTATAACCCTTTTGGGCTCACCAAAGAATGACCAGATGAACAAGATAACTAAATTTCATATCCTACATATTGGTAAATTGTCTTTTGTTCAACTTTAATTCCATATATATCTTCACTTTCACTTCTAGTTAACTCTAGTCTAAGCCTTTCATTTTTGGTATCCCATGAGGTGTCCTCACACCTTTTGGGCATGTACACTGCACATAAGATTTAGCTACACACTTGAATATTTCATTAACTCTTATCACAAATATGTCTCTTCATTTTATCTTACCTTCTCCCACACCACACACGTGATAAGAATCATGAAAAAGAAAACAAAAAACCGTGGCCTGTGTTGTAATCTATTCTTAACTTAATAAAAATGCATTTTAATGACTCAATGATAGTGCATAACTAGTAAACAAAAAAAATATACTTATAAGATAGCTTAACATTGCTCAATTTATGTACATGTTAATAAAAATGCATTTTAATGACTCGGTCTAAACCATGCAAACTGCTAGGAGTATTATATTTAATGCGAGACATCTTAATATCTTCTGAGTGAAGTTATGGCATTAGACATTTGAGTTCAGCATAATACAAATAAATTCACCACTATTACTATCTAAGAGAGCCTCAATATATCTTCACTATAAACTACTTTGTCAATATAACTTTAGGAAGAGTGTTAGGAAATATAATTTTTACACGCTTTTTATTTTTTGTAAACATATATTAAAACTAGAAAAGGATGAGAAAAATTATTAATTTAGAAAAAATACATAATTTTTATAATTTTTAATAAATTTTAACCAGCAGTAAAATAATATATTTAAACAAATATGTTAAATAGTATGTAACTATAATTTCTCGTAGTCACAGGCTGCCAATTCAACCACTTGTATTAGCCTCAATTCTACCACTGCAACATGTTTTTATGTACAAATTAATATGTGTCAATTAAATGAATTTAATTTCCAAATAAAATAAAATAAAATTGAAAACAGGGATTTTTTTTTCCTTTTCTAATTTTTTTCCTAACTAGCATAATATCCTTTCCTCTTTACCTACATCTGTGTTCTAACAACTTTGAATTTCTTTGTCCTAGAAAAACAACTATAGTAATACATCAAATAAAGAGGAATGATACACCTATTTTAATGCACTCTTAATCATTAGTAAAATTTATTAAAAAATACAAAAAATTGATAAAGAAATATTAGTTTAGAAGTAAGAATAAGATATGTAATTTTTGTAGCATTTACAAAGTAACAATATATTAAAAAAAAAATCAAATATCCTTTTCCTCTCTTTCTTATCATGGTGCTCAAGAACAAAACCTCTAAAACAAAAAGAGGTTTGCTTTTTTTTTTTTTGGAAAAAAAGGAAATTTGTTTTCTACTGGGTAGTAATAGGAAGGCCAATAGTTCCAACTTCATGATGGCAAGGATTCTAGAAATGGGGGAAAGAAGGAAATATGATATAGGTATGTGAAAGAGTAAGTGGTGGCCACTACAATACGTCATAGATAATAAGGTTTGATAAGTTAGTGCCACATAAAGTGGTAATTAGAGTCTGAAGGATGCCTTCAAAGTTAATTGTGTTCGGTATACATATTTGAAAACTTAAATGTGGTGTCTAGTTTGAGGTCGGCATCAAACTACAATTGGGATTAGCTCGGCCTAAATTAAAAGGCTAGTTAATAATTTAAGATTAATATAATAGTTCTTAAAAAATTAAATATAAATTATAATTTTTTTGGTTGGGCCTTAAAATATTAGGTCAATTAAATTAGAAGAGTGAAATAGAGTTGGGTAATTTGGTTAAACTCAATCTAACACTGAAATATGTATAATTTAAAATTGATAACGTGCTCGTATCATATTTGTACCCAATACTCAATATAAGTATCATAAATTGTCCTCTTATTAAAACTTGATTTTATTCCTTTTAAAAATCTTCAATATATAGTTTTGTCTTTGAGTAAGAAAGAGCTTAATATCATAACCCGAAAATAATATTTTTATTTACATTTAATTATGACTATGCTTTTTAATTGAACCTTTTCAAGAGATTATACATTTAGTTATAAAAAATTTGAAAAAAAAATATGAATCTAATAGGTTCAACTCACTCCATCCTGATTCCCTTCATTTTGTACGATAAATTAAGCGAAACGATGAATTCTATAACTCAATCTTTCCCATTAAAATAAGCAATTTATGAATCGAATCATCAAGTAGAAGTTGTTTTGCCATCTTCATAACTTAGCTTAAATATTAGATAACATTTCATAAATGAGAAAACGAGAAATCACGCTACGACTATCGAGCTAAGGAATTTAAATTCTCTCTGTGAAAGATATTTCTTCAGTTTTGACATGTTTTTGGTTCTAACTTAATTTTTTATGAGTAAATTAAAAATTTCAATTGTTGAATTATTATTAAGCTTTTCTAAATACAAATGGCCAAATTTGTCTATTAAATTTAAGTATTTAGAGAAAAATTAGGTGAGAAGTTTATAAGTTATTTTTAATTTTTAATTTTTTTTATGAATACTAACTTAAAAATTTATCTAGACTAACTTTAAATTTCCGGTCTAATTCAAAATTCTCATACCAAGTTAGGTAGGTTAGGTCATGGATAAAAAACTGCTATATTCTATTTAAGAATTTATCTATTGTCAATGTATTTATGTTTTCTTTTTTAGCGCTAACATCTTTAAAGTTATAACTGGTTGACTTTGATCATTCGTAGAAATAACATGCGATAAGAATTAGATAAGCAACCAACAATTTTGGGACTAAGAAAATTACTTTATTACTGCTAGACTTCATTGAAATAAAATAAGTTCTACATTGTCGAAGATTATTAAAAAGAGTAACACTTTTAGTTTGTATCAAACTTTTTTCTTATACTCTTATTCTGAAGTGTTACAAAATGTTCAAATATTTACTCTAAAAAATTTAAATATATTAGAATTATAAAATAGTTATACTTTTTTTTTAAAATATTTGTAAGAAATTTCACATAATGTTATTTTTAGGTTGACTTTAAAACATAACGTGATTTTTTTTTTTTAGTTTAAAATTTTTTTTTTGTTAATTCTTGTATTGTGATTTTTTATTTTATTTTTTGTCATGTTTTCTGGTAGTTGTATATAGCCTTTGGTTTAGTGAAATGTTGCATTTTTAACATGTTTTGTGGTTGCCATATTTTTTTATCTTCTAAATTGGAAGAGAAGTGTGATTCATGACATATAATTGCAATATCAAATTTTCAAAAGTGTCAGAAAAAATTTGATATAAATAAGTGTGATGAAAGAATCTATTTTGTTTTGTAGCAAATTCAAGTTCAGGAGTGTTAACACAATTATGATTACACAAGGTTAAGTTAGATGTGGATAATGTCTCTCGTTGTAGGAGAGAGAGATTTTCTTGTGTAAACATTACTGGTTGCTAGAAAAATGATTAGTAATTGTTCGAAGATTTTCAATTGCATATGAACATTAGTTAATATTAATATAAAATTTGTAGTAATAACACGAAGAACATTAGTTTATTGATGTAAAATGTGTTGTGATAACATATGAACATTGATTAAGATTGACGTAAGGTGTATAATAATAACATATAGGTATTAATTGATATTGATGCATTGACTAACATTGACAAAATGTGTGTTAAATACTCGTTATGATAGAGTATAATAGTTCGTTTAAATTAGACAATAAAATTAAAAGATGTTTTATTTCAATCAAAACGAAGATTATTAGAAGTAATTAAAACAAAATATTTTAAAATAAGTCTAACATTATCAAAGAGAGAAACCAATGATATATATTAACTTTAAATTATTTATTTTAAGTTGTACTAGTTAAAAATACTTTAATTTTGTATTTAACTTTTTTTTATAATCTTATGTTAAAGTGTTGTAAGATATTCATACACTGTAAAAAGTATGGGTAGGAGAGCTGCAAAGTAGTTATAAGAAAAATCTATTTATTATAAAATTTTTACATTGTTATTTTCAGATTGATTTTAGTTATGATTTTTTTTTCGATTTTAAAGTTTTTATAGTAATTCTTGAATAATAATTATGTTATCTTATTTTTCACTCACTCTCAAGAGAGTTTTCAAAAAAGAAATCGTCAATTTTCTAAAAAATTACTGTGCTAATGCTGATAAAACTAGATAGAATATAAAGCTAGTGAACAAGTGACAGAGGTTTAACTGGGTCAAAACAGAGTGCTAAAGCAGATAATGACTTAAAATTAACTAATTGACACAAGAATATAAAATCAACAAAATCTAATAAATTGAGAACCAAAAACTATTGGCTTCCATTTTAATCAACTAGAGCCGCTAAACTGGTCAACTATGAATACTGCAGCAATCCCTTTCCAAGTTTCCAACTAAAAATTTAAAATTTGATGCTACCTATTTCATTTGAATCAGGGACTCTAATTAAGGTAGGTGGAGCTAGGATAACTTTTTATTTTAAGAATGATAACAGTTAATTTCATCCCTTTATAAAGAGATGAAATAAATGTTATGCATATATCTTTCAAAGTTTTATTTTTTTCTTTATGGTTATTAACTTTTCCATAGGAAAAAAAAATTAGAGAGGGACCTATGTTTACCATGAAAGTTTAAGTATTTGATAAAAAAAATATAATTATAACATATTCGTATGAAAAATTAATTTCCTTGAACGAGTAATCAAAACTGAGAAAGTTCTGTATGCACAATCAAATCAAATACCAACTATTCTCCATAGATCACTCACTATACAGATCCCCCATTACAAACATTCACAAATATAAACAAACAAGTACCCAAAAATTAGGAAAAAAAAACTAAAAATCATCTAGCCAGGCCCTTTTCTAATTTAAATTAAAAAACCCACATTTTTTACATGACTGAAGATATGAGAAATAAAAGTATATATGATTTCTTGCTAACAATGAACAATAGAAATTAAACATATGAAAATATATAACTACAGATGAATGAGAGGAAAAGAGAAATGTACCAGAGCAGGTCTTCTGGGCAAAGAGCTTGTATATGAGGGCAATTATTCCAGCAGCATGGGTTGCTGCAGAGGCTATGAAGAAATAGTAGTGATCTTTGATGATGAAATTTAAAGCCACCAAAACACAAACAGCAAGCAATGCCCCCAAAAGGATCTTCACTTTTATAGACTGCTTCCTCAGCCTTTCAAACAAAACATTCATTGGGGAATTACCTCTCTTTGTTCCCATTGGGGATCTTCACAATATATGGGTATGCTCTGTTTGTTTTGGGTTTGTATTTGTGTTCACAGTGACACCCAAATTGTTTAGATGATGAGAGTAGTGTTAGAGAATTGACAAGATTGAGAAAAAGAGGCGTTTTGAGGAGACACCAAAAGAGCATGCAGTGGATGGTGTGATGTTATGTGGCATTGAATTGGGACCATTAATGGCACTTAGGCAGTTATGGAAAAGTCCAAAATGGCAAATGAGGATGATCCCAATGCTTCTGCCATTTTAGAAGAATATACATTCTTTTCTTTTTACATAACAAATAAAAGGATTCTGAATGTTGAAAATTGGAACACTTGAATAGCTTTCCTATCTTATTTTCATATTTAATGTATTCATACTTATTATTATTATTATTATTTATCTATCAACAATTCTTTGCATTTCATATTTAATGTGTACTTTTTAAATTTTAAAATATATAAATATATGCATAATTAATTTAAGTAAATTAAGTAATATATAAATAAGAAAACAGACGAGTAATAAATATATTTTATTTTATAACAAATAAGGACAAAAAATGTTTAAATAAATGTGATAGTTTGACTATTTTTGAATCTTGACGAAGGGATTTATTTATTTCTTTTTATATATTAAATGTGAGCTTCAATTTTTAAATAATTTTTTAAAAGTTATCCTAAACAAAACGTTTTTAAGAGTCGACATCTTTTTAACTATGTATTTCTCCTACGTTGACCTTTTAATGTCTTAACCAATAATTTTCTTCATATACTAGAATTATTAAAATAATTAATTTTCTGAATAAATAATTAAAATATACTAGGTAGTACTCTATGCAATGTACAAGTATTTTATTTTAAAATTAATGTATATAATTTATAATTTTGTAGAATTATATATAATAATAATAATAAAATTATTTAAAATATTAAACTTATTTAAAATTTATTTAAACATAACTCAAACTACAAATAATATGTATCAAAATAATAAAAATACAAGCAATAGAAATAATATATTATTATGAATTGTATATATAAATAAATTAAGAAATTTAAAATTTTATATAATATAATAACAAATTTAAATAACAACTTATATTTTCAAAAATTTGAATGAAATTACTAAAAAATAAACAAAAATAAAATTATTATCGTGAAAAGAGAGTAACTCATACATCATTTTGTAGGCAACTAGTTTAGCATTTGTGCAATACACATGTATTTAATTTTAGAATAAATATACATATAATTTAATAATTAAATAAAAAAATTTATATTTTTAAATTATATTATGATAAATTATTTTAAATAATAACTTCTTTTAAAAAATTTAACTTACTTCTATAACTACTAATAGTATGTATTAAAATGATAAATATTTACTAAAATAATTTATTTTTTAAATCTATACAATAAAATTATTAATATATAATTTTATATTTTAATATTATATATTTTACTTTGAATAATTTAATTTATTAAATAAATTTATTTTAAAATAATACTTTTATAGTATAGTGTTAAAAACTTTTGAATTAAATATTAATAATTAATATATATTAATAAGCATGAATTTAAGATATAAGACTCTTTATATTAAATTTTTAAAAAATATAAAATAATATTTATAAATGTAAGAATAAGTATTCACGAAAAATCTAAAATTCATATAATATAATAAAGAAAAGATAAGTAACAAGTTTAGTTTCTAAAATTTAAATAGAATTAACATAAATGTGAATAAAAAATAAACATTATAATAATAGATAGTGTAGTTTACATGTTATTCTTAATTATTTTTAACATTAAAATGTATATATGACAAACTATGTTAGAGAATAATCTTATGAAATGTTTTACTTTTCAAATAGTAAACTTTTATTCGTAGTATAGAAGTTGATTTTAATATTAAAAAGTACATAATCTAGTTTTAATTTTATCTTTTTATTTTTCTTAATTTTGAATTCTTATCTTTATAATTTAATTGTATACAATATAATAGAATATTTATCATTAATAATAAAATATTTATATTTTTCTAAAATTATAAAATTTATTAATTTCAAAATAATCGTGCAATATATTATTATCAATATTTTACTTTTAAATTTTAGTTTAATTTAATAAGATTCATGCAATGGAAGAAGAATAATAAATTTTTTATCAAAATTCAAAAAAGAAGGAAAACAAGTTGAAAGAGGAGAATGAAAGATAAAAAGATAAAAAAAAAAGAAGAAGAAGAAAAAACTAGAAAATTTATCAGAATATAATATATTTTTGCTAAAATTTACAAGGAAGTATGTAATAAATATTAATTTTCAATAAAATTAATATTTTTATTAAAAAAATAACTTATTTAAGGTTAAGCTAAAGAATTAAAATAAAATAAAAAATCTATTAATTTAATTTAAATAAAAACATCAAATCTCATCTCATTACCGATCAAGATAAATAATCAACATCCAGCAAAATTACATTCGTCCAGCAGGTATGATGGATATCGAAATCCATCTAAACCTAAAGAAATATTTTAAAAGTTCATTCGTCTTTTAATTATGTTATATTACTTTTTAAAAATTCTTTAATATTTTAATTAGTACTTTTTTTATATAATACATGATTATAATTATATTTTTTTATTTAAATAATACAATTTTAAAAATTATTTTTAAAATAAAATTAATTAAATATTATTTCTCTGTTTGTGAATTTTTTTTACCATTAAGTATATCATATTATTTTTTATTATTTCTTAAAACAGCAAAACAAGTGTCTCATCTTTTTTTTTCTGGATAACAGTGCTATCTTTACTTTTGGATATTAACATGTAACATTAATTTAAAAATATTTAAAATTATAATTTAAAAGTGTTTAAATTATAAATTTAAGATTATAAATGTAAAAAAAATTTAAAATTTAAATTTAAAAATATTTAAAATTATGAATATAAAAAATAATTAAAATTATTTTTAGTAATAATTAATACTAAAATTAAGATAAATATTTTACAATTTTTAATAATATTTTTAAAATTTATAATCTTAATAAGTCAAATAATATAAATTTAATTTTTATTTTTATACATGTTATGTCATCTAAACTTATTTTAACTATTTTTTATTAAAAATTAATACTATAATTAAAATTAATTTTTTATTATTTATAATTTTATTTTAAAATTTATAATCTTATTTTAAAAAATTTTAATTTTATAACTAAATTAATTATAAATTTAATTTATATTGTTATAGAAAATATGTCAATTAAACTTATCACAACTTATATTTTTATTAAATTAATATCATATGTTATTGTACATACATGGAGATAGCATTATCGCAGCAAAAATAGAGATAATAGTATCGTCCAAAAGAAAAAGATATTCGTCCTGCTCTTGTCATAGGTTATTATTAGAGTATATATTGATATAAAATATGCGATACTCTTTAAAAATATATATATTTTTGTCCATAAGAGTCTAATACATACATTAAGTGATGTAGCAAAAAAAGCCCTCAACAAAAGAATTTTTTTTAATTAATCTTATTTTTTAAAATAATTTTTAAAATTTTATTATTTAAATAAAAAGTCCTTTTATTTACATTTTTAAATGAATAATTAAAAATTATTTTTAAAATATAAAATAATATGAAATTAAAAATAATTATATACTTTGAAAATTACTTGGTATATTGAAAAAATAATTTTTTAAAATATTTATATTTAAAAATACTCCTAAAATAATTTTGTTCAAAAATAATTTTAAAATATTATTGTTTAAGAATTTATATTCATAAAGTCCTATACACAAAGATTAATAAGAAAAATATGTAATAAAAAATTTCACTTGACATGATAACAAAAAATCTAATTCTTAAAAATGTTTTTAAAAATGTTATTGTTTAAAAATTAGTAATTGCAAATTATATATAGAGGTTGATTTAATTTTAATTGTAACTTCTGTATTTTTTTCTTAATTTTAATTTCGTTGTATTTGTTATAATAAAATACTATTATAATAAAAGTATTTACATTTTTATAAGATTACAATATTTATTAATTTTAAAATATTCGTGCAATATACTTTTAATGTTTTAGTCCAAAAGTTTATTTTAATTTTATAAGACTAATGCAATTAAGGAGAAATTTGCTATTTATATTATAAAAATATTTTTTAATCATGAATTTCTCTTAGAGGTTGATTTATTTTAATTTTTGTCTAAATTTTTTTAAAAAAATTTGGGTCAAAATTTAAAGGAGGAAAATGAGTTGTGAAAGGTGGATGAGGGGTTAAAGTAAGAAGAAAAAGAAGCCAAAGGAGGAAGAAGAAAGATAAGAAGATAAACTAAGTCACCATATTTTTTAGGGATTAAAGGAAGAAGAAAAACAAGTAAAGGAAGAAGAGGAAAAATAAGAAGATAAGCTAACCATATTTTTGAAAATGTATGTTATTGGTTTTTGAAAATTAAGTTACGAAATTAAATTTAAATGCATTTCGAAAACAAGTTAAAAAAGAACAAAAGAATAAACACTTGTTGATAATAATTCCAAATTTGAAAACTGGTCTAAGCTGAAGTTAGCCATGCTAATAACAACGTGTGAGTTGAGGTTTACATGATTCTAGAAAAGTACCAAGTTGTGGGTTTATGAATAACTTCTTAGAGATGAATATATGTCCTGTGAGAACATATGAATAACCATTTGTTTAAAAAGTTGTCTTCTGCATCTCAGTTTCACTTGTTTATATAACCATCTTCTGTTAGTTTCACGTTATGAGCGTAACATTCCTATCGCTCCCAAATTGAATGTTTTGTTTTAGTAAAAATAAAGAGTGATCAAGTCCCCGGAAAATGGTAACGATGATCACTGGATTAGTAACATCAATGATGAATGAGAAAATGATCGCTATTACATAAAAATGTGATTTTGTTGATGGTCACTTTTATGTTGGGTAAGAAATTTTTTTGGCTTTTTTAAAATAATAAAATAAAATAAAAGTAGAATTACGTAAATGTCCTATTTTTAAAAGAATTATTTAAATGTTCTGTTAGCCTTTAAAAGTAGTCAGCTTGAATGACTTCTGCATACTTATATATCTGCTATCATAGCTAATCTGAAAGGAAGTAGAAGAAGCCTCTTCTAGAAGAATCCTTTGAGAGAAAGAAAGAGAAAGAAGTTATGTACATCTTTTGCTAATTGATAAAACGAAATCTCAAAAAAAGTAATTTATTGTAATTATGGTATTTAAATAATATTGATGTCCTTTATCATGGTTGTAAAATATCACACCAGCTTTAACATGAGCAAGTTTAAGTTCCATTCTTCCAGTGTTGTTCTATACTTCTATAAACATGTTCTGTATATCATAGTTTGTCATATCACTACTGATACTTTGCTGACAAGTGAACGAAGAGGTCGATTAATTTCAAAAGCTTTTGTGTTGTTTCTGTTAAAACAATTGGTAATGTCAAAGTTATTATTTATATCAACATAGTAGATGAGAGGAACAAAATTTGGACATAAATTTGACAGATTTTTCCTACAATTATGTTCTAAAGAATTTGATGATAAATTATTTATAGGATGCCACTTTTGGTAAAGATTGTGCTTGAACGAGGATTCTTTGCATACTCCACAAAGACATGCCAGTGTGAAAGCATCAAATTTGGATATTATCAATTACTTAAACTTATACATAAGGGTTAAGATTTATAGAACAGAGCAGTGTCTGGTTCAGTGACAAAGTTGACGAGGCCTTACAAGAATTTGCAATGGGGTTAACTTGGGCAAGGTGATCCCCAAACCTTCTCTCAAATCAACAGGTTCATCGATTGGAACAGTGAAATGAAAGGCTTGAAGCAAACGAGCAACGGTGATGAGGCTGACTTGGGTGGCAAAAGTAGAGCCAGGACAAGCTCTTCTACCCATTCCAAAAGGCATGTACTCAAAATGGTGACCCTCATCAACTTCTCCATTGCTATTAATGAACCTCTCGGGTGAAAACTTCTCAGGCTCAGCCCAAAGACTTGGATCTCTATGCAGTTTCCACACATTGCCAAACACACGGGTCCCTTTGGGTACATAATACCCTTTAATGTAGCAATCTTCTCTTGCCTCGTGGGGCACCAATAGAGGACCTGGTGGAAATAGCCTCAGTGTTTCCTTGAAAATGGCTTGTAAGTAAACTAGATTTTTTATGTCACTTGCTTCCACCCTTCTCTCCCTACCCACTTGCTTCTCAATCTCCTCTTCCGCACGCTTCAAAGCGTGTGGGTTCTTCAACAATATTGCTAGCATCCATGTCATTGTTGTCGATGTTGTGTCTGACCCCGCTAACATTAGATTCTACATTTCAAATAATATCACAATGATACATAGTTTTCGTAACAGTCTCGTAAAAAATTTATACCATAACATTTGTAAACAATTGGTAACTTAAAAAAAGCTTACCATAACATTTGCTTTGATGATAGTATCACGGGTATGACCAGAGACAGTATCGTCCTCAATAACAGACAGCATGACATCAATGAAATCATGTTTCTCCCATGATTTGTTAGTCAGAGGATCATTCTTAGCATGTTCTTCAACCCAGCTTCCCACAAGGGTGTCCAAATCTTTAGCAATTCGTTTCATGGACTTAAGCACTTGGCCATGTATTGGTAACCATCCAAAAATTGGAATCAAATCGGAGGGAACAAACTCCCCAGATATATGCATAAACTCTTTTATAAGTTTCACAATACCATGCGCTTCTACATCATCCACATCTTGCAAATAACTAAAATACCTGTTCACAAACATGGGAGAGCCCAAAATTGAGAAAATTTTATAGTATAATTAGTAAAGTGTAATGATTGATTGATTGAGTGAGTGAGTGAGTGAGTGAGGATAATACAATTAAATAAGTTCACAACATGAGTAATATACAAAAGGGAAATTCACTAACTAACTAATTAATCTCTAACCATCTCCAATTATACCTTTTCCCAGCAATCATCTTTGTGATCATATTGAAAGTCAAGCGTTCCAACCATTCACTTATTGTGACCTTAACACTCATGTTGTCCCCAATATACATCCGAAGATCCTTGATCAAAGTGTCAATTTCAGATTCATAAACATGCCTCAAAAATTCGAGGCGGCGAGCTGAGAGTAATTCAGACATGGTAAGCTTTCTAAGCTTGATCCAATATGTGCCATAAGGGGCAAATCCAAATCCTGCAAAGTTATAGCCAAGGTGAACTCCATGACTTGACTTTGGGCGTGAGGCTAAGACTTTGTCATTTGTGGTGAAACACTCTTTTATTGCTTCATGATTGGAAATCACAAGGGCAGGGTATGCTCCTAAACGGATTTGGAAGATTGGGCCATATTTGTCAGCAAAAGCACCAAAAGTTCTTGCAAGGGGTGTTTGGGCTCCTAATAAGTGGAGGTGACCAATCAAGGGTAAGGCTCCTGAGGGTTCTGGTGGTTGTAGACCTTTCATTTTTTCACTTGATTTTTTCATCCTCCATATGTTGTAGAGAACCACTAAACCTATAGCTATCACTACAATTGTTGGTTGTGTAAGCAAATCCATGGAATCTGATCTCAGCTGGTTAGAGATTAAAGAAGATGAGATCAGTGTTCAAATGATTTTGAGCACAGAAATTAACTGTCCCAGTTTTTTACTTTTGATATAATGCTCTCAGGGTACGCCTGAATATGAAAATACTTTATAAATATTATTAGATTATACACAAACACTTTCTGAAAAGAATGAGAAAACAGAAGAGTAAAACGACAGGAACATCACATTCAACTTTAGGTGTAGACTTGTTTTTTGATACGACTTGAAACCAATGAAAGCGATTGCGTTTAGAAATGGATGGAGGAAAGTTTTTGTGTAAAAGACTTTTCTTTACTAACTTGTGCAGATTTTAATTTAATCAAACAATCATAAGTGATCGAGTAATCTGAGTTCCAAATAGAAATATTTCATTGTATAAATTATAATATATCCTTTGCAATAAAAAAAATGTTATATATCATTTATTATAATTGCTTGACCGATACAATTATTATAATCTTGTAAATATATTTTATAACATAGGCTTCATTATTATTATTTGAAGAATTACACTTTGGATATTGTAATTAAAATAAATTTTTGACCATTTTTTAGTTATTAATAACATTCAATAATAAAGAATGTTAGAATGAATATGTCGACAAAAGTATAGTATAAATATTCTCTTAATTTCATGTTCAACCTGTCTTTCTTTTCTTTATACTTTATTTGGATGAGAAAAAAATAAGTAAAAACAAACAAATTAAGAAAAAAAATGTAAACAAAAGAGAGTAAAAAAATAGATAATATCCTCTAGTATTTTTAATTTTTTTTTTAGATTCAAGTAAACTACTTTACTGATTTATTTATTTACCAAAAGATTTCTCAACATCATTCCTAATATTTAAAAAGAGTATCTAAACTTCAAATTACAGAAAACAAATTTTTAAAAATTTATTATAATATATGATGTTATTCTTAAAAATAAAAATAAGAATATAAAGTTTCAAAACAATTTAACATTCTAGAAGTTTATAAAAAATATAAAAAATATTTAAATTAATTCAAAATTTTTAAGATATTTAACACATTTCAACTAGTTATTTAATTAATTTTCTTAAACAACTCTAGTGCAGTTAAGTAATCATAAGATATAAGCTTTTAATAAAATAATGATTTATATAATTTTATAAAATAAAGTTGATATATAATATCATGAGAATCTAAAAATTATGAAAAGGAATGAATATATCACGAGAAATGTATGTTAAGTGTAAAATCTTTCTAGAGATAAAGTGCAAGTGCGAGATATCTTCTTCTCAAGAATTGATTTAAAAGGATGAGTGTTCACCATAAGTCACTGGATAATATTATTTATGGTATCTCAATATTCATTGTTAATATTTATTAATTTCTAAATTTCTATAAAATGTCATTTGATCTCATTCTTGTATAAATTTTTAGAACGATTTAAATAGAATTATATCATGAATAAATTTAGTGGTGTAGCTTATGTTAGATATTGATTATTTAAATTTAATATAAAATTTTATTTAATTGGTATAATATTTCAAGTTAAATATTATTTATTATAATACAAATTGATTGTTTAATTATTATACTAAGTTTTCATTTGAATTTATTGTTTAATAAATTTTATTCAATGTAAGGATGATATGTTCTTCATGTCAATCGTGTGATATAAGGTCTAATCCAAATGATTTATCTTTATTGAAAATTCAAAATGTAAATATTTGACCACATATAAAATAGTATTGTTGATTGTATTTAAAATTAAAGTGATATATCATTGACATCATAACGAAGATAATTTGCCTTATAAAAAATTTTTACTTGATTTAAGCCCATTTTTACCCAAATAACAAATTTATATTGACAATTATGTGTGGTTACAAATTCTTGCCATAAGAAAATTTTTAGACTAACACAATTAATTTATGTGTATGAGATAGATTGTCACGCATTGTACCTATGGATCCAAGCATTATAGAGGTATGACAACCTTATGAAACAAAGTGTGTAAATATGACATCTTTGGATTATATCTATGTTATAAGATTTATTAATTATATATGTATTAATGTTACATATAGTTGGATAGTGGTACATACATTTAAAGCAGTTAAGTAAGATTTTACATACATCTATTTGAGACAACGAAATAAAATGATGTATTCATATATTTGCTTATGCAGTAATTAGAACAAATTATGAGATATAATAAAAGTTGTTACTAATTGTTAATATATGTACATTGATTGTATAGTAGTCTTACAATCTTGATGTGATAACTTGATTACCTCAAATGTGCTTAAATAAAGTAGATTGTTAAAGAGTTGTTGTCCTACTATGTGTGATACGACAATTTATTATGAATCCACATATTTATAGTGATTTAAGATAGGATAAGACTATTGATAAGTTTGTATTTTGATACATTTTTTTTTGTAATATTTTAAATTAATTTTTAATTAATTATTTTACAAAATGAAAATAATAAAATTTTTATTTAAATAAAAGATCTCATCATAGAATTTCATAAAGCAGTTTAAATAATAAAGGATTACAAGTTTATATTAAAGACTGCTACAGGACTAATTGAATTATATCATAATTTCAAAAATACAATCTAAGTCCTATAACAGTTCATCCTTCCTTCACTGAGTCCGGTGCTGATCGTCTTGGTCACCTGAAAAATAAATGGTGAGTATTCTACACTATCCAACACTCATAAACATAGAGACTCACCTCAACTACTACACATTTACTAATCATATTTTAAATTATGCAACCATAATATAAGCATCTCAATCTCAATCTCAATAATCATTCATCACCTATTCCAATTCAAAACACAACCGGTGCACTCACTGCACCAATATTTCATACACGTGTGCTTACCGCTTGGGTAGTCACGGGTCACTCAGCAAAGGTATTGGTCAGGGGTCTAGTCAGGAGGAGAGTGTGTGGCCTGTGGTGCACCCACAGACATCCGATTAAGCCCATTCTAATGGCATTTTGAAGCTAACATCCAAAGTTACAGTTATCCTTCAGGCCACGAACCAAAAAGAGCCATTTTCATAGCCGAAAAAAGGAACAAAGTGACGAACGGAATTTTTGAATTTTGAATTTTGAATTTTAATTTTTTTTGGCTTCCCTCCTCTCTTCTCTTTTTCGTTTTTTTTTCTCCCCTTTTACATCTTGTTTCCCTCCATCCATGGAGGCTTAGATTTTCATCTAATTCAAGGATTAAAAGAGACGTGACACTCTTGAGGATTGATTGATCGCACATTAGCATAAATTCAATAACAATTTCGGTTTCATCTATTCCTTATTCTCTCCCTTTTGCTAATTATATTTTTGAATTGAAGTTATTTGTTTGGATTGATGATTATGCATCTTGTTGATTACGTATTATTCGATTGATGTATGTAATTGAGTTTTAAGGAACATGAGTTGGATTTTCAGGTTTGAAAACTATGATTAACGGCATTGGTAAATTAAATTGGCACAATTCAATTAGGTTCTAGAGTTTTCTGAATTTTAATTAATTATGTGCTAATCGAATGCATGAAGGTTTTTATGTGAATGCTGAGTTCAAATTGAGGTTTCATTCGGATTCATTGTTAATTACCGAATTATTTGTTGATTTACTCTCTTAAAAATCCGGTGATAGAATAGTCATTTTTTTTTCTTAATTCTTGGATTGGAATTTCAACTTCTTCATTCTAATTATAATTAAGTGCATTTTTGTTTCCTTTATAAACAAACCCCCCCCCCCCCGTTTTATACGCTTTCTAAATAGATTAATTTGTCATTGTGATTCTTTGAGAAACGACCCCAGTTGCTTACCTTGTACTATAGTAATTAGGTTTATTTTGACCCGTGTGCGACCTCGTGCATTTAACGCGCAACAATTTTATGCACTCAACATTCAACGTAATCCACATTCACAAATCAAGAGCATAACAACTCAATCACAATCAAATTACCCTATCAAAACATACATATTCCGACCTCCTACCTCAATCACATGGTCACACAGAGTAGAGTTTCCCCTTACCTCAAATGAATATTCACACCCAATTCAACAAGGTAGGCGCTCCCCCACACGAACTTGACCTAAATACATGGAAAAACCCCATGAGAACTCAAGAAAACCAAGAAAATTGTGAGTGGGGACGAGAAATCATAAACCTTAACCATGGAAACTCACTTCCAAGCTTTTCCAAAACAAATCTAACCTTCAATCTAGCTCACGAACGATTTTGTAAGCAATTTAATTGGTGAAATAGGGTTTGGGAGTAAGAGAATTGAAGAAATCTCGAAGGGAAAGTGAGAAATAACCCTTCCCCAAACCCTAACCCCTTTAAGTCCTCTTCTAGTTGCGACACTTTCGCTATAGCGAGATACTTTCGCTGTAGCGAGGTCCTCTCTCGCTACAACAAAAATATCAGAGAAAACTGCACCTTGGTTTTTACAGAATCTTGCTACAGCGAGACTGCACCTAGAAATGTACCCTAAACTGTTGCTTTGTCGCTACAGCGATAAGGCGACAGTTTCATGCCTTCCTCCTAAGGCTCTCTCGCTACAGCGAGACTCTCGCTGTAGCGAGAACACTCTGCACCAGGACACTTAGCCAAATTTCAGTATGATTCTAGCATACACATATTCTCATCACCCTATATATATATATATATATATATATATATATATATACATACATACATACATACATAATAATTAATAATAACACATAAAAGTCCACGTAAACACTTATATTAATTATTAAACTATATTACAAAATTTGGGGCGTTATATTTTCAGCACGTTTATATGTATTTATTCTTGATTTCAATAGATTTTTATATTAATTACATTGTTATTTTATGCAGATGAATGTGTTTAAGGCTATATGTAATTTATGGACATTTTGGGAAAAGTTAAGAAAACTATACCAATATTGGTCAAAGTACGCCTAGTCCACAAGCAGTTAGCATGTTTATGCTTATATAATATGCACGACCATGCATGTAAAGAAACATGCCTATGTTCAAGCACGGTCGTGTTCAACTGCGTGACCACAACTTCTAAACAGATTTCAGGGTTTCAAAAACC